AACCTTGTCTGGTTCAAAATCATGTTCGGGTGTTGTGGAATTGTTGATTAACCTGAAGTGTGTGGGTTGAAGGGGTGAAAGTGTAATCTTGAGGGGGCAAAATGTCATTTTGGCATAAAATGCTTCCATGTGTGTGTTGAAACTTGAAATGGTTACGGAGCACATTATGAGTCATGATTTGATCAAGAAAAACTGTATGCTAAATCAATTGCAATAATGGTTACTTTGTAGTGTTGTCGGTGTAGTCGAATCAAGTCGAGTTCGAGCTCTTGCTCCTATTACTCAAGTTTGAACTCCAGCGTCTGACAAGCCAAGAAGATATTGAATTCCATCTCGATTTGTTTATCCAAATTAACAAATGTAATCTGAACTATAATGAGCCGAACAAAAGTGAATATTCCAAAAACTGCGCAAAAACTTCAATATTCTAGAGCTTTAATTAAACTCTAGTTAAACAAATTGAACCAACCTCGAAGCTTAACAAGACGAGATGAATCGAAACGAGCTCATGGCATAATAATTCAAAAATCTTAACAAGTTCGAACTTTAGCATAATAGTCCTAGCACCATATTAAACATATGCGGTGACATACATTAATTTAATTGCTATATATAATTGGTGATAGAAGTATCCATCTATACGAAAAGGGATAATAAAAATATTTAATTGTACCTATATATTTTTGCCTACATTGTTTATAGTCCACGTATACGACGAGGACAAGAGTCATTAAGTTGCAGTTTATCAACTGTAAGCAATAATATAATTTCTTAAAATTTTAGTCCTTTTTGTTTCATTTTATTATTGTTTTCCAAGTTTTTATTTCTATATAGGCAGTCCTCGTATGAAACATGGTAGAATTATGTACGAGGGAGATTCTACAGTCTCGTTACGGAACTATTACGTCCGGATTTGTAACCGTTAGATTAACTATGCACGACGGTTGACGGTTATATGATGATTTATCGATTACAAATCCCGACGAAATGGTTTCGTAACGAGACTGTAACATTTCCCAATGTATCAGCATATGCATATGAAAGTATCATTTTATTTCTAGAAAATTATATGTATTTTTCCAGGAAATAATATAAATAAAAGTATCATTTTATTTCAATCATCAGTCCATGAAAAACAAACTAAATAAATAAATAAAATGCAGTCAGTTAGATATATGTCCAAATACAAGAACCCAACTCTATTGTTGTGTAGTGCAATGTCTAATATACAAAACACATTCATACAAACTGTTTGTGGCAAATTGGTATTGGGACACAACAGTTTGGTGTGTGATGGGGACATTTGATATTTGGTGAACCCTTTGAATTGTGCATTGTACTTACAATTATTATTATCCCATGTGAAAATTAATGGTGTTTGTGGAGTGGCAAAGGGAGTGTGTCCTTCACAATTCATTTCATTTTATGCTTTTGTACTTTTGGTATATTTGGACTATTAGTCACATGGTTATTACTACATCCATTTCTTTTTCTTTTTTTTTTAAAAAAAAAATAATATATACTTTTTTTTTTTCTTTTTCACTTTCTCATTTTTAATTGATGGTCGTTTCTCTGGTTTATCATGTGTAGTGCAATTAAATGAAACGAATCGCTCGTGAGCGCAGCTTGAAAATAAGAATTTTTATATGATGTTCTACAAGTCGACCAATTAAAACCTGAATTCAGTTCATTAATATTGATAAAAGGGTCGAATTTGAGCTCGATAAAAGCTCGAACCCGAGATCGTGTGTGATGAGGAGCTCGAGCTTTGTTCGACTCGTTTACACTTCTTCTTAATATGATTACGAAAGGTTCGAAATTTTTAACTCAGCTCACCATCTAAGCTAAGACAAGAGGCCAATCGCTCGTTCGAAGGAAAAATGGAGAGCTTGAACTCGCGGGCAGTTTGAACCTCAGAACTGGATCAATATGCAAGATTTGCAAAAATTTACATTTATGTTAAGTACTTATGTTGAAATAACTAACTTGTTGTGTACAAGTTAACAACACATTGGGCCAGCCCACCAACCCACGCCGATTTGGCTCGTTAACCATCAACACGAACTAGTCGACTCGGGTTTTGGGTCGTCAATTTTTTTTAAACACCGGAAAGATACAACTTCAGGGCAAAATTGTATTTTTCATTATGCTGGTTTAACGTTATAGCAAATTCTCAAGGTTTCAACATCGTTTTTTTTTTTGTTATATGATTTAATATTTTGCTGCAATTTCAGTCGTTTGAGGACTAAACCTACAACAAATTTTCAAATATCCCAATATTCAATTAGCAGTTTCAGTTCTGTAACTTAAAACTTCGTTGCAATTTCAGTCGTTTGAGGACTAAAACTACAACTAATTCTCAAATATCCCAATATTCAATTAGCAGTTTCAGTTCTGTAACTTAAAACTTCGTTGCAATTTCAACCCTATAATTTAAAATTTTGTTAGTCATTTCTGTACTATGAGAAATAAAATTGGAATAAAATATTAACTTATAGTACCAAAAGACATATAAAACTAAAATTGCATTTTTGCCCAACTTCACCAACGTTGGGAAAAAGCAAATATATATAAAAGAAGAAAGATAAAAGCTTTAGCAAACCAAGAAAATGTGACTGACCTCCATAAATAAAGATCTAATCTTAATTAATGGCTACTCATTTCTATGCATTTGCTACTGATTCATTTTGTCATACTATTTTTCATTGCCATTTTCCAATTGATAGAATTCATTGTTCCTTAATCCAAGCACCAATTTAATTGAAAAACATATGTGGGTTGGATTGTGTGCCCTATGAGCCTCTACATTTGCATGCACAAATCTTATATATATGTCATGTGCACACACATTTTAATCAACTTAATTGAGAAAACTCATTGAAGTTAAAACCTCAAAGGGGATTAAAAAATAAAAGAAAAAAAATTAGAAAAAAACGAAAGAAAGAAAGAAAGAAAGAAAGGAAAGGAAATGGGCAAAGACCTTTAAAGCATTGACCTGATTGACCTAGCCGAAGAAGACGACAAATATACGAAAGATGGGACGATGGATTATTGCAACAAACCAGCCGTGAAGCTCGAAGCAGGAACATGGAAAGCTTGTCATTACAATCTAGGCATACATACTTAAACTAACATTTTACTCAATTTATGTTATTTATTTCTATTTTCAATGCTTATTGTTGGAATATCATTTGTGAGTTGTCCCACATTGATTCTATAGGGAAAATGAGTCTGATATGTAAGCCTAATAAAAAACATACAAATGCTCGAGATCAACTAGAGGGCCAACTTGAATTTTCACATTAGTCTTTTTCTTGAAAAAAGGGCGTAAGTTTAGCTTGGCTTTAGCTCGAATTTAGTTAAAAATATGGTTATACTTGAACAGCTCGTCAAGCACTAAGTTATATTATATATGTCGAGCTAAGCTCATACATGGTCAAACTCGAGTTTTAGTCGATCTTTGACTCCAGCTACTCTAAGTTGAGAGCGTCAAACATAATTTTTTTAATTTAATTAATTAGCATTATATAATTCTTAAAAATAATTAATTTGTGGATATCTTCTTCCCAAATTCTTAAATTCTACCGAAAATTTTTAAATTGAGAAATTTTAGGACGATTTGAGGTATATATTTTAAAATTTCACCCATTTTTTAAGACAACTTTGGCTTGAAATTTGAATTTGTGACCAAAATTTATTGAATACGTACGTGCATACGACGTATCAATTTCTAACCCCATCTTGTAGCCAAATTTAATTTATGCGGACATATCATGCGCACATGTCCCATATTATTTTTTTTGGTGAAATTCAATTCCAACCAAGATTATCCTCAAATTGATGAACTTAAAACATACCCACTCAAAAATTTGGATATTTTTGCCGAATTTATTTTCAAATTATTTAATTTAAAAAAATAGGAACTACTATCTTCTAATTACTAAGTTAGAAAAATTACAATTTTAATTCACTAACATACATTATTCCTCTTTTTGCAGGGAAAGCGTGAACGAATGGGAAAAATACGAGTAAACAAGATACTCTATCGTAAAATACGTAAAACTCAACAATATATTTTTTTATTCAAAATCAACTCTCTTAATAACATAGCACAAGAACCTTTTAAATAAGACATTTGAACTAAACCCTAGCTTATTCTTCAAGCTAACTAATAATAATAATAATAATAATAATCTGCACCATTCTCCTCCGGTTGAGCAGGATTCGCCCTCGAATCCGACCCGTTCCCGTTGGCAGGAATAGTCCAACCTTTCCCTCGATCGAACACAAAAGATGAATGTTGTCCAACAACCCCAATGGGAAACATAAGCTTGAGCAAGTATTGTACTACTGCAAATGGATATGTACACGCCTCCTTACGCATAACTCACACAGCGCAATTAACACCAAACATGCCACATCGTTCACCATGCTCAAATCTATAACTACGATCAAGCACCCTGTTGTTGGGAGACTTCGAGATAGAAAATCAAAAAATGACCCACCAGTTATTGAGTCTCGGCTTCGGCTCCAAAAAATCATCTTTGGCCAAGATACTCCGAAAATTAAGTCTAAACGACGGCTTCCCATTTGAAGACTCAACCTCTGCGACGTCCCACGCGGGACCCATATTGTCGCATAAATATGTCTTCATCACCGGAGGCTCCTCATAAAAAATGGGCGGACCATCGTACAACGACCCGTCATATCGCTCTTCATCGAATTTGAGGATGTTTACGCAAAATGGGTCATCCCATCGACCAACCTTGCGACCAACTTCTCTCTGCACAGGCCTAATTTCTGCATCTCCTTCACATGCCCAAAAAAAGCATTTGGACTGCTCCTGCTGAGCCCCAAAATAGCCAACATCGTTGCCGTTCAGAGGTGGCGGGGGTCGCTGCCGGGGCGCCCCGACATGGCTGCGTTCCCCACGTCCGCCTCTGTCTCCCCCGCGATTGCCACGGCCCACAGCCTCATCGCGGTTCGTCTGCAATTCCGAAACAATCATGTTGTTAAGCGTCAAACGCAAATACCTGATCCCCGTCGAAAGATCGGCAAACCAATTCGTGAAACGCACGTCCAATTGTTCAAATCGGTAGTCGATCTGTTGAAACCGATCGTTGAAGGTTGCATCACGTTGTTTGTTTGCGGCATCTTCTCGTCCTGGCGACATCGCGAATCGTACTGACTGCTGATACCAACTGATGTAGGGAAAGCGTGACGAATGGAAAACATACGAGTAAACGAGATACTCTCTCGTAAAACACGTAAAACTCAACAATATATTAATTTTCATTCAAAATCAACTCCCATAATAACATAGCACAAGAACCCTTTATATAAGACACTTGAACCAAACCCTAGCTTATTCTTCAAGCTAACTAATAATAATAATAATAATAATAATAATAATAATAATAATAATAATAATAATAATAATAATAATAATAATAATAATAATAATAATATAATTATTCTGCATCACCCAGTTCTTTATTCGAATTCGAAACTGATCCGATAACACTTAAATTTTATTTAATTTGGTCCGATTTCGATCTCAATCGTTGGTATCCAGTAATTATTTGGTTCGTATTATTCGATAATACTTAAAAGTTCTTAGACAAATTTCGAATCCCAATAAGTTGCTCAATAATAGACTAAAACTGCAATTTTCTCAATTAACTTCTCCATTAGAACTTATTTATACAATACATCCCTAAATTACAATATTAATTCTAAAGCTTTTAATCATTCATTTTTTCTTATCAAATTATTTTCAACATTTATTTTCTAGGGAATGATCATCCTCACCCTCTCAGCCACCGTCCACGGCCTCAAACCGCCGTGCGACCCCACCGCCTGCCGCCAACTGGCCCACAAACCGCCGTTTTCTACGCCGGCTTCTATCTCATAGCCCTCGGCACCGACGGCATCAAGCCGTGCGTATCCTCGTTCGGAGCCAATCAAAACTCGAGCCCGGCCGAGAAAATGCTCAAGAGCTCCTTCTTCAATTGGTTCTACTTCTTGATCAATATTGGCGCCATACTGGCGTCCACCATGCTCGTTTGGGTTCAGACGAACGTGGGCTGGGGCTTGGGCTTCGGAATCCCGGCTGCAGCCATGGCTCTGGCCGTCTGAGCTTTTTCTCCGGCACTCGGCTTTAACGGAACCAGAGGCCTGGCGGGAGCCCGTTTACTCGGATATTGCGGGTGATTGTTGCGTGCGTGAGGAAAGCTCCGGTGGATGTGCCAGCTGGCGGGTTGGGTTTGTACGAGACAGGGGACGACGGGGAGTGTGTAGTGAAGGGGAGTAGCCGAGTAGGAAGCTGTAGCACACTGAAAAAATTGAGGTAAAAATTAATGTTGGTTTGGAGCTTTGGACTATACTTCTACCTACATTTTCGTAAATAGAAGACTCGAAAATTTCGAAAATATTTTTAAGGTGAATGAGAAATTATTAAATTAATGCTGAATTGGACATGTGGAAATGGATGATTTAGGTGAATGAGCAATGTTAGATGCCTACGGGCACTGAGCTCAAAACTAAAGGCTCGTGTATATATACTACTATTATACACAAGTCAAAAGTCGGTGTAATTTAGTAGTTTACGTATATATTTCGTCTTAAGAATGAGCGTCACATTCACATACCTCAAACTTTGTTTTTAATTCCACTCTTTTTTCCGTATACCCATTTAATTTGTCATGATTAGGCTATAAATGAGCAGAGCCAAGCTCGAATCCTTAACGAGCTTGAAATTAAGTTTGAGCTCGGCTCGTTTATCACCAGTAACAAACCGATCTCAAGCTTTAAAGAAGTGAACTATATAAAATTATATAAAAATTCTCTTTTTGAGCCGAGTCGAGCTCGGCTTGTTAGCCAAACAGCTTTGAATGAGCTCAAGCTAGATAAGTGAGTCGAACCGCACTCGAACATTAACGAGCAAAGCTTGAGCCGAGCCAAACTCGTTTAATTTAACAGCAATACATTCAAAACACCAACATAACATACATTGTTTTTTTGTTCAGATTCGTCGACAAGGCAGCGTGCGTATCAAATCCGAAGGCCTCCCGACCCGTGGTGCCCTGCACGGTAACCCAAGTCGAGGAGCTCAAGTCGATCGTAAATCTCTTCCCCGTGTGGGCCACGGGCATCGTCTTCAGTGCCGTGTACAGCCAAATGGGCACCCTATTAGTCCTCCAGGGCAACTCCACGGACCTCCGCCTCACCACGAACTTCCAAATCCCACCGGCCCCCCTCTCCCTCTTCGACACCCTTAGCATCATAATCTGAGTCCCGCTCTGCGACTGAGCCATCGTCCCCTTAGCCCGCAAGTTCACGGGCCACAAAGCGGGCTTCACGCAGCTCCAAAAAATGGGCTTCGGGCTCTTCGTGTCCATTTTCGCCATGGCCTCGACCGGTGCACTCGAGCTCGTCAGGCTCCACTCAGTGTGAAGGCACGGGCTTTACGTGTCCGTTTTCTGGCAGGTGCCGCAGTATTTTATTGTCGGGTGCGCGGAGGTTTTTGTGTTTGTCGGGCAGTTGGAGTTTTTCTATGAGCAGGCGCCGGACGCCGTGCGGAGCCTGTGCTCGGCACATCGTGGTGGGCATGAGCACGAGTGGCGGTGGACCCAGGTGGATACCGGATGATTTGAATTATGGGATGCTGCATTATTTTTTCTGGCTTTTGGCTGGGCTGAGTGTGGTGAATTTGGGGGTCTATTTTGTGGTGGCTAGGGGGTATACTTATAAGAGCCTAACAGTAACAAAAGAGTCAAGTTGGTCACAAAATATTAAAAAGAACCTAACAGTAACAAATTTGGACAAACAAGAGCCCCACATCAGAGAACATGATAATGCAAAACGAAGATAACGCGAGATCCCAAATTCCAAGCTTTAACTCCATTTTCCCTTCTTTTTCACTCCCAAACACACACTCACAAGCTATAATTTGTGCCTTAAATCAATCCAATCCTTCACCCCAAACCGAGTTTGCTGGAATCGACCAAATTGGCAAAAATGCCCTCCGAGAGTTGGAAGAGGCCGGTGCCAGGTTACAATCTTCACCTCTTTCCCTGTCGATTATGACGCACAAAAATGAAGATGGATTATCAGGAAATACAGACAATAACCCTATTTTTCATCTTTATATTAACCAGAGCACTTGGAAGTGTGGCATGGGTTATAACTCCAAATAAAATATTACTATTCGGGGCTAATACATCAGGCCAACCTTGTTGTTGCATCATGTATAACAAATATGTATTGTTTGGTGAAATAACTAAAATCACCAAACCATATATCGATGCTGTGCATGAATTACTTCATATCCAGAAAACACAACAGGACTTGAAAGAGCAATATACTTCAGTTCAACAGACAACATACCTCTTTTGAGCTTAAGAATCATTACTTTTGATGTAACATCTAAGCTGGAAACTGCTCTTTTTCTCAAAGTATTATTCAGATGAGTACCCTCTTCAGCACTCACTCTTCCTGCAAAGATAAAAATTGCGTTTCACATTTAATTTAAAATTATAATTTGTTACTAGATACAAGAAAGTCGATCAACATACAACACGAGACCTGTAGTACCCCTTTAAAGTTCCAGCATTCGTGCCATCTATTTTGCTAGTTGCTGTTCCCACAAAACATGCATTTGTTGGATTTATTGTACAACCTGCCATATAAGATTGTTTGGGAGAAAACTAAATCAGTAAAAAGAGTTTCTGTAATTCATTTCCAGATTAAGGAACAGAGCTAAAACAGAGTCGAGCAAAACAGGAAATAAACAAATGAGTGTAATTATAATGAAGCTGCATGAAGAAAAAAAAAAAAGAAAGAAAAAAAAAACATTTTATATGTCAGAAGTCGGAACAAATTAATTCATAGAAACGAAAGTGTTGATCCTAATAAAGAATAAATCAATTAGTAAGACAAAACAACTTAACTTCACAAAGGCGCAGGACGGAAAATCATTTTGGCCCTCCCACCTGAATAACAGCTCTCACGAGTATATTCCACGTAACTCTAGTTGGGACAATTTTATTCGTCAAGGCATTCTGTAAGAACACAACTGCGTCCGATATTCTATTGCAAGAACAAAGACCTTTAAGAGTAATATTATAGGAAACAATATCCGGCTGTATCCCAAATCTTAGTATCCGAGCCCAAATCACCAATGCATTCTGCAAGTCATTATCTTTGTAAAATCCTTCCATAAGGGTATTGTGGGTAACAAGACACGGAGCACAGTCCCAGCGATTCATGTCCAAATATAGGGACAGAGCAAATCGAGTTTTGCCAAAAGAACACAAACCGTGAATCATTATGTTATGCATCCAAACATCAGGTTTGATGCCTTTGCTGATTACCTCATTCCACAAGTTAAGAGCCAAGTGTACTTTATGACCCAAGAAGAGACCTTTTATCAACACACTATAAGTAACTAAGTCTGGCTTCAATCCTTTCTCAAGCATTTCCTTCACAAGGTCATAGGCTTCAGCAAACCTTTCATTTTTGCACAATCCATTAATCAGAGTATTGTAGGTCACGATGGAAGGGGAACAATGCATACTTTGCATTTCACGAAAAGTCCTAAATGCATCCTCAAATCTAGAAGCACCTACAAAGCCATTGATTAAAGCATTATAAACAGGAGCATTTGGCTTACACCCATTTTTAGCCATACCATTCAGCACAGAAAGTGCCTCATCCAACTTTGCTTCTTTACACAGCCCATTAATTATTGATGAATATACATAAGCATCGAAAACACCTTTCCCCTCAGCATTCTCTAATACATGTAAACTCATGTCAAAATGTCCATTTTTACAAAACCCATCAACTAAAATTCCATAAGTTGTGGAGTCAGCAGCAAAACCTTTCTCCTTCATAAGCTCCCAGATGGAAATTACTTCATCAACCCTACCATTATCGAGAAGCCCTTTCATCATTATATTAAAACTACTGATATTTCGACTACCCTTCCTTCCCATCTGTTCCCACAGCTCAAAACAGTTATTAGTTCTCCCATCCTTGAAATAACCATACAACATAGCATTATACACAGCAGTATCAGGTGACACATTAGATTCATCCATCTCCTTCAAAATCCTCTCCGCCCCTTCAATATCCCCTGAGCAGCATAACCCATGAATCAAAGCACTGTACGTGAACAAATCCATTTTCTGCTCGTTCTTCCTCATCCGGTCCCGAAATTCCAGGGCCTCACTAAACCTTCCGCACCTGCACAGGCCACTGATGAAAACATTGTACGTGACAACGCTCGGATAAACCCACGAATCCTCTATCAACCTCCTCCAAATCCCATAGGCCGCCTTATAATCATCTTTCTTGAAAAACCCATCGATTAAAATGTTATAACACGTAACATCTGGCCTCACGCGTCTCTCCAGCATATCATCAAACACCTTCACGGCTTCCTTCAATTTTCCAACTTTCGCCAGCCCATTTATCAGAGTGCCATAACTATAAACATCCGGAGCCAATCCCTGTCCCCAAATACCATCCACCAGCTCACGCGCGCTGTCGAAATCCCTCTTACGACACGCGACCCTGATCAATATATTAAACGTCTCGAGATTCGGAGACACGCCCATAGTCCGGAAATGCCTGAAGAAAAGCTCGGCCTTACTCAGCTGATTCGAGACCACAAACGCGTTCAGAAGACAATTATAAGACCTTACCCCGGGTTCGCACCCGAAAATCTCCTTCATTTTCTGGAAAATCTCCATGGCTCTCTCCGCCATGGAAACCCGAGAGTAAATTTTCAAGACTGCTAAAGCCGTGCTCTCCGTACAGGGGCATTTCTGGGCTCGGATGAGTTCGACAATGCGGGTGACGTCGGGGATGAGTTTAAGGTCGCCGGAGGCGGAGAGGCGGCGGAGGATGTGGTCAAAGACTGCCGGGGAGTGGTTGTAATTGGGGTGGCCTCCGGAAGAGTAGAACAAGCTGAGGGCGGAGCTGAGATTCTTTTCCGATTTGAGAATCTGAATGAGGCGTTTGGGAGTCAGGTTTTGGGGCAGCTGTGCCATGAGAGGAACTTGAAGCTTGCTCTGTGGATCCTCGTTATGTACTGCGTGGTAAGGTGAAATTATTTTGGGAGAAAATAATCAAGCCCAATGTGAAATAAGGTTGTCCAGGTTGCGCTCCGTTTCAAGGCCCAAATCCCCGAATGGGCAGGACCCATATGCTGGCCCGATAATTCCAAATGGTTGGGCATTCGGGACAGGCCCACTCAAACCGGCCCAAAAGACACCATATCAAGAACAATTATCCGTAAGGGAAGGCCCAACTCGTGCTCGTGTGGGTCCCACGGGTCGCTCGGTTTCATCAAGCGACGCATGCTCGACGAGAGGCCGACTCTTCCGCGTGATTTGGGATATGCTTTCTGTACTTTGAAATTTGACGAGATGGGTGATCGGTTTCCGAGTCATGGTCGGAGAAGGAGCAAAAGCGATTCGAGTCAATCGTGAAAACGAGATCGCGGGCCGACTGGAGAGCTTCTTGAAACGCACGTTGAAATGATTTCCCGATAAAAATGGGAAAGACATTGTGAATTCTTACTTCGATTTCTACATTCCTCGCCACATGTTAGATTCTATAATTTTAAGGCAAGTCGACACCGATGATGACGAGGAGGATGGTTTTTAACTATATCGACATGCATAAAACAGATTAAACAAGCCATATCAAATCCGATTATGAAGATGTGAACGGAAAGTATTGTCTATTGCGGTTGACTCAGAAGTCGAAAAACTTTGACTTTTTTAATCTTCGGATTTTTTTTTTTTTTACTTCCGATATCTTATTGTATATTGGTGGTTGCGACAATCGTGTACTTAGGATCGTCGTCGTGCTTTCTCATGTTTTTGTTTAGGAAAATGTTGGCATAAGGGAGCTTTGTAAGTCTTGTTCATGATGCTCTATGTGGAAATACACAAACACAATCCTTAGGGTCTTCATTGTGTTTTGTAGAGCTTTTGAGAATGAAGAAAATGCATAGAATTATGCAAATGAATAGCAAGTCAGGTTCCAGGTGGTGGTGCGGGAGTGGGGCTTGGGTGTGGTCCTAGTAGCTCGCGTGGTCTGTGGCGGGGCGACTGGGGCGGAGGAGTTGCGATTTTTCCCCTGTTCCCTTGGTTCTCTGGTGTGGGGTCGATGGGAGGCCGGCGTTGACGGTCCGCGGCCAGTGGTGATGGCGGGACTGGGACGGTGGTGGTGTGAGGGGATGTGGATCGTCGCTCTTCCGGCTATGGGTCAGGTTCTTCTTCCTGGATGGGATTGAGTTCTGTAGTCCCGGCTTCAGTTAGGCGTTTGGCAGTTTCGGGAGCAGGTTCTCGGTTTTCGGTCTTGTCCTTTTGGGGGTAGACCTGGGTTTGCTGGTGTTACGGGCTTGGATCTTCTGCTCGGGGAAGGGCCTTGAGTTGTTTTCTTTTGTTTTAGTTTGTGTGTTGTTTCTGTGGTGTTTGTTTTGTGTTTTTGTTGTGTTGGTGCTGTTGTTGTGTTTGAGTTGTGTTTTTTTATTCTCCTATGTGGGAGTTGTTCATTCTCCTGTTGGGAGTTGTTATTCTCCTTTTTGGGAGCGTGTTATTCTCCTATTGGGAGCTGTTTGATTTGTTGTGATGTGGGTGAGTTAGTGTAGTATTCTAGGCTACCTTCGAGTATGCCTCCTACATTCAGCTGTTTAGCTGCTTGGCTATTCTAGCTGTTTGCTAGCTGTAATTATGTGGTTTTAGTTTTAATATAAATTCTATCGTTTCGAAAAAAAAAAATAGCAAGTCAGGTTGTGTTTTGAATTATTTGGCTTCACATTTGTTTTTCAATGTTAGATCAATACAAATATATGTACCTCTATACGGTGAATTAATAAATTTGACAGTCAAAATTGGAACAGAAAATCATGAATTATTCAAAACTATTTATGGTATTTAACAGTAAATGAAGGTGAAATTTCTTCATAAAAAGATTTACTCATACTGCTTATAAAATAAAATACCAGAAATAGTTTCCAGTGGGCGTTTTGTGGGCATATCATCATATTTATTAATTAAATGTTTTACAATATTTTTTCAAACGTGAAGATTTTGAAAAGACGAAAAAAAAAAACATTTATATCAATTTATATATTCTCTTAAAAGTTTTACCAAATTGTCAGTGTGAAAAAAAAAAAATAAAAAATAAACAGTTTTTCAATTTGCATATTTAATTATCGATCGAGGAACAAATTGCATTAACTTTTTGACAAAAAATAGATAATCTTTTATTTATTTATTTATTTATTTTTTAAATGAATGTTTTCTCCACCGAAAGATGAAAAAAAAGACCATAATGTATTGTTTTCTTCATTTTTATTTTTGACTTCTAATACTTAAATGTATTGTTCTTTACACGTATACAATTAGCAAACTAAATTATGAATTTTAGTCGGGTGATTTAATTTTATACAAAATTCTTAATTAATTCAAACGTTTCTTTTGTCATATCTAGGACTGGGCAAAAAATTCGAACAGAACCGCTGAATCGTAGATCCGAATCGAAATCGAACCGAATTTTCGGTTAACCGGGATACTCGGTTCGGTTACAAATACCTCAAAGGAAGTATTTGCTCGGTTCGGTTCGGTTACGGTTTTTAGGATTTTTCTACCCCGGTTAACCGAACCGAACCGAATCGTATATTATATTAAAATTTATAAAATATATATTATATATTATATTTATATATATTAAACTAACCTGTTGGTATGACTATTCGCGAATTAACCGAACCGAACCGAGCAAACATAACACAGATAGTAGGATTTTTTTCGGTTCGGTTCGATTAATTCACAAATAGTAGGATTTTTTTCGGTTAACCGAGATTTTCGGTTCGGTTTCGGTTAGCAAGTTCGAATATTTGCTCGGTTCGATTCGGTTAGCAAATACCTCAAAAAACTCGAGTATCTGAACCGTGCCCAGCCCTAGTTTTATCTATATCTTACCAACTAATCTCATTTTTATCTAATTTTATTTTAATATTTACAAACTATATAAACTTTTACCATTACATTTTATGGTTAGTATAGCCTATGTTCTCATTCTCCTTTTTTTTTGTATCATAGCCCGAATTGATTTTGAAAATAAATAAATCATGAGAATGCGTTTGTATTAATAAGCTTATTTTGGTAGTTAATACTTAATAACTTATATTTAGCTTCTAATATGTTTTTTTTTTTTTTTTTTTT